CATCTCCCAAAGCGTGTGTAGTGATAGGTTAGTCGTTTGGTCGAAGATGACCGACGCGCCGTAAACAAACTGGAGGCTAATCACTCTCCACAAAAGTGGGCTGACCACGATTGTGCGATCCGGGGATACGAAGTAGAATCGGCTCGACCTAATGTGAGCAACGCACAGTCTGGTCACGGAAGAAAGCATCATCACCGTCATTATACAAGCTAGCTGCAGGTGGAGGACACCTCAGCGATGGTGCAGCAATAAAAGGAAAAGAAAAAGGCATGAAAGTGGGCACGATGGCTGAGTCACCAGTAACGGATGAACATCGTTCCGGATAGGTGACAGCCGGCTATTGCGCAAAAACGGGCGTTATGCCTAATAAATGAGATCGTGGTTGGAAGGAGAGGCTACGTGGGAGGGGAGGACGAAAGCAAAGCGGATTGATTCGGACGGCCACTGTGAATGAAGCGTGTCCTTCAACCAGCCCACACCAACTCCACGAAAAGTGACGCCAAGTGGGGACGGGTAGCGAGTGAAGAGTAGTCCAATCATGTACCGCCCACTCGAGTTGACCATAATCCCGCCTGCCAGACGGGCATGGGTGACTTAGCGGTACCGGGTATGAGTCGACCTGAACGTGGCCATAGACACAGCAGAAGTGGATTGTACCGGACAGATTGGATGGGCATCGCGCACTGGCCAATGAATACAGACAGATGGCAAAGGACGCGAAACTGAAAAGCAGCCAGTGAGAAGCTGTGGCAACCGAATAATGCCTCTAATACTTGTACGCTTTATTAGCAGCAGATTTAGATCGCTGCCCAGACCTTGTTCTGACTCTTAGAGGGCTACACGTTATGGCGACAAGGGAGAAGAATCTGACGCACCAGACCTCACTTACTTTCGGTGGACAGTCGTCAAATCCATCGCCGACTGCTGTGCAGATGACGGAAAGCACGGTACCGGGCGCCTGGAGGATGGGGATAGCGAAATCGCTGAACTTCGTTAAACTGGAACAGTTGAATGCACATTAGATGCCATACTAACTGGTTATATTTAGACACGCCATTGACGATGAAACAAACCGAGTGCGCTATACTTTAACCTCGGTGATCTTGATGATCAGGACCCTGATCTTTCGGATATCACCAAGAGTTTTAATACAGCAAGAAGAAGCAACATTTTAACAGAATTTACTGAATTCAGCAATTTCGCGTATTCTCCTCAGCTGTTTACATACAATTAGTGGAATACACAGGCTACATAGCAGACAATCAAAGTGCGATGTTAACGGCAAAATATTCAAAGCGGTCGAAGGCCCTTGGGGTCACGTGACCCGTTCCGAGGAAAATGCAATCACTAGCCTCACCAGGGAAGGGCTAGCGTGGTCATGAAATCCGTTTGCTTGTACAGATTTGGAATTGATGACGCCTCCGCAAACTGAAGTAAGCGGGGCGTAACTTGTTTGCTAACTATCCTGCAATTACCAAGTGGGTTTTGGCATTCAGGGCAGTCAAGTATGTGGCGGGCAGTAGTGCTAGTCGGTAGCTTTGGGCCATTAGCGATCACATTCCGCGGAAGATGTTTTGCAATCCTCCCTGTCTCAGTTCGGCCTGTGTACTTGCTACCGCAAGTACAATTAGAGGTAAATGCATGAGGCGGTAACTTGAGAGTCCGGTCTGTCCAGGTTGGATTTACAGAGCAACCTTCTGACTTGAAGCAATACAACTGGCTCAGCCGCACAGTAACACTTCTTAATCGATTGACGGAGGCGATGCCGTCAACTTGATCTCGTTTGAACGGCAGTGTAATGAATACGTTTTTCATCGGGACATCGGTTGGTGGTTTATCTCTGGATTGTATTTTCGCGTGCCTTGCTGTAAATCGTGCGGGATATCCATTCTCTTGTAGTGTCGAGGTGACTTGTTCCAGTTCACGTTCGATTGTGTCTAAAGAGCAAATTTGACGAGCTCTAGCAAAGGTGGTACGTACTAAAGCTCATTGGGCAGAAGCTATTAAAGTTCAAGTATTGTCCCGTCCATGTTGGTTTTCTGTACACAGATCGAACGAGTGTACCATCTGGCTTTCTCTGTAAGTTAGCATCTAAGAAATGGAAAGATCCATCAGACTGATTTTCCATTGCGAACTTGATGGCTGGATGGTACATATTCATCAGTTCCAATAAGCTAGTGATGTTGCATCAAGTCAGAAGGTAGCTCTGTAAATCCAACTTGGATAGACCGGGCTCTCAAGTTACCGCCTTCATGCATTTACCTCTTTGATTGTACTTGCTGCCACAAGTACATAGGCCGAACTGAGAAAACGCTGTCAGTGAGGATTGCAGAGCATGTTCCGCGAAACATGATCGCTAATGGCCCGAAACTACCGAGTAGCTCTATTGCCCGCCGCATACTTGACTGCCCTGAATGCCAAAATCCATGTGGCAATTTCAGAGTAGTTAGCAAACGAGCTACTCCTCGCTTGCTACAGTTTGCGGAAGCCTCAGGAAATCGGCGGCTGAAAACCAAATCTATGCAAGCAAATGGATTTCGTGACCACGCTAGCCCTTCCCTGGTGAGGCTAGTGTTTCCATTATCCTCGGAACGGGCACGTGAGCCTAAGGGCCTTTGAAAGCTTTGAATATTTTGCCGTTAACATCGCACTTGGATCGCCTGCTATGTAGCATGTGTATTCCACTAATTGTATGTAAACAGCTGAGGAGAATACGCGAAATTGCTGAATTCAGTAAATTCTGTTAAAATGTTGTTTCTTCTTGCTTTATTGAAATTTGTGAAGGACAATGCCTGCATGAAATATCACCAAGAGTGTAGGTGAAGACCAATGAAACGAAATATTTTATATTTATGTGTTTTTTAGCGCACTATCACACCGGGTGAGTCATTTCAGACCTGTATTATGGAACTGAAGATTCTGGCATGCACATGTAATTTCTGCGCTTGTTTTTGGGACTGCTTTGTACACAACCGTATTTTTACCGGTATAAGTGATAATGGGCTCACTGGACACCTTCTGAAGCAGAGAAACCTAGCCCTGTATTAGTGTATTGTTGTGTTTCGTAATGAGACGAGAGCAACCTAGCAGCTGGAAAATTTGCAAGCGGAAGCAACAACGGCACTTTGGGCAGTTTTTAAGACCGAAGAAATCCCATCACAGCCATCCGAGGGACAGGAGCCGTGTTTTCCATCATCACTCATTATACACGTCAGCTAGAGGTGGGAAACACCTCAGCTACTGAGCCGCAGTAAAAAAAGGAAAATGAATACAACAGTTGCATGCTAACTGATCTATCAGCAACGGATGGGCATCGTTCCGGTAAACTACCAGCCGGCTACTAAACAAAAAGAAAAATTATTATGTTTAACGCTACGAAATGAGATCGTAGATGGAGCGGGCGGCTAAAAGGGATGGGGAGGGACAAAGAAACTCACAGCAGGAACGCCACTGAGGTCGGCCCCTTGCCATGTCAGCAAGTGTATCTCGCCAAACGTGTTCATCGTCTTTCGGACCCCAACCAGGGACCCGGGACGCTACAACCGAGGCCAGCTCAGAAGTGAGGGCCTTCATTCCTCTCGACGAAGTCATCGCTTGTCCACCCCTCCTCTTTTTCTATCCACATCCCCGGTGAGCAAACAACACACGTCGTGGAAGTCGATGGGCTGGCATGCGGAACACGTGACCAAGCCATCGGAGCATGGTGCGTGAAATGACGGTGCTGAGCGGTTCAGTTCCTTTTTCTGTGCGTCGAACGCTCTCGTTACTCGCGCGGTGTTCCCACCAGATGTGAGCGAAATTGCAAAGGCACCGATGGTCGAAGGTAACTAGCCTCTTTATGCCCGCTGATCTAAGGGGCTAGGTTTCACAACCGTACAGTAGGGTCGAACGTACCGCTGCATTGTACAGAGGCTTCAAGTGAAACGGCGACTTAATTTAGCAGGAAAATCACAAAGAGAAATCAGTGATATTTTATATTACTGATAGAATTCCAGTAGCTCGAAAACAACAAACTGTATAACTTCACCTTCAGGACATTCCCCGTCGGGTTTAATGCGGGTTTCCGTCATTCTTTACCACGCTCCGTCGCACTGCTGGAAGCAGTCTTACACGATTGCTCCTTAATACCAGCGTTGCTTAGAGCAATATCAATTGAGTATGAGGGCTGTTCTATTATAGTAATTTTTTCTCGGTCAGTAATGTCCGGGTGCCCGGAGCGTTATGAGCAGGAGTATAGTCAGGAAGAAGCATCCACGATTGCTGTCATAGTGATCGTCAGTTAAAGCGCACTCAGCGAAGCGAACGTTTCAGTAATCAAGCAACAATAACTGGCATAAGGGCGACAGAGTCAATAGTCAGGTTTGAAGCGCATGTGACCCAGGTGCAGTGAACGAAGTTCATAAGCTAATAACGAAAAAAGGAAATAACGAAGCAGTGCCAAACATATCTGGCGACAATTAACAGTGTGCCCAAACATTTACAGACCACACAGTGCTACAG